CGCGAAAAATGCGTTTTTTTAAAAAAAAAAAAAAAAAAAAAAAAAAGAAAAAGTAGAAGAAGAAAACACGGAGCTCAGAATCTCTGACAACGGGAGAAACAGAGAAAGCTAGAGAGAGGGAGAGAAGTACCCCGAATCGCGACGTGGATACGCGAAAGGGTACTCTCGCAGGTCGTCTATGTCTGAAAAATAGAAGTTTCTTTTTTCCTTCCGGAAAAATTGCAATCTCCCGGTGGCGAGTCTTCGCCCATTGTACTATTCTTAAATACTCTAACTGCGATAGAACAAGGGGGAGCACGACGGTGTAGCAAAATATGATTCTCATTTTATCCGTTCGCGGAACGAATAATCCTCCTGACGAATACGGCAATGTCTCCATAACTGACGCTCAGATTGCGCAGAAAAATGGACAAATTTGGGAAGCGCAGATACGGATTATCCGAGCCTTGCGATTCGTTTTTTATAGGTACGAATTGGCAACAATTATAAGAACGATCCGCAAGACTCGAATAATCGTGTCTCCACTTCCCAAATTGTCCATTTTTCTGGACGATCTGCGCGACAATTAGGGAGACGTTACTGTACATAGCTTCCTCGGCCCGTGTATTCGAGAGAAGTGCACGAAAACACGCTCGTGCGAAACCCGGCTATCGCTCCGAAGACTATGCGCGGCGCGTTATCGGTTGTGCACGCTGAATTCTGAATTCTCGAGCCTTTCGAAAGGGTTACGTAACGCGGAGAAACAACATTGTGCCGCATTCGATACGACTCCGACGCGGAAAGATCCGTCGGCGTCGAGCGAAACCGGATGAAGAAAAATGAAGAAGAAAAAAAAAACGATGAAACGAATCACGATTGCTTGATTATTGCTCGTTTATACTGTACGTCGCGCGGAAAGCTTATTGCTGATCGCCGTAAAGATTCTCGTGATCTTCGCCATTGTACAGGCTGACCGTGTTACGGCGCTTACGAGGGAGAACACTGGTAGCGTTCTCCTCGCAGCGATTGCTCGCGTGATGGCACAACGGTAACGCTGCGCGGTTCGGAAACTGCGGAAAACTCCGGGAGCGTTCCGCAACGTTCCCTGTTTTTCTTTTTGTCCACGCTGAAAATCGTTCGTCGCGTGCTCGCCTCCTTTTAACACTGGAACCACCGACCGTGATTACAAATTGCAATTCCCCCGATCGTCTCTAAATCGTTACAATCATTGGAACTGTGATCGAAGGGTTCGGAAGCCAGCGCAAGTCCCACGAGTACCGAGACAAAAGCGTTTCAACCGCTTAGCCGTGGGCGACTTGTGTACACAAAGGAAACCGGTAATCTTACAGTCCCACGATTCGGGTTAAATATATATATATAATAATGTTCATAAATTTGGCGGATTTGAAAATAATTCTGGAGCAACTGGCCGAATGAAACTGCACGGGAAATCGAACTTTAAAGATAGAACGACGCAGCTGAGCGGTGAAACGCGTAGAAGAATATATTTCTGAACGGATAACTTTGCCAACCGATGGCTTCATGAATAAAAAATCGGACTCGACTCTGGCTAAAGAAGCTCGCCCAATGATTTCTAAATACTACGAATCAATTGTTCCGCGACTGTCGGTGGTGCGCCGATGTTAAAACGCAGCATGGAGTCGCGCACGTGGTAACACAACCTGGTGCACTTGTGTACGTATGTATGTATGTATGTATGCATTCATGTATGTGTGTATGTATGCATTCATGTATGTGTGTATGTGTGTGTGTGTACGCGTACATTTTATGCGTAGCCGCGCGCGGTACGCGACGCGCATAAGTTACGAGGGCGTACTTGGACAAGACTAGATGCACATATGACAAAACGAAAACGTTCGACGACGCCCCGGGCGGGGACGTCGAGGAACCGAGAAGGACGCGACTTGTTACACACCAGTCTCCAGCTTAAAATCTAAAAAAAAAAGGAAAGATTCGGGGCTTCCCCGTGTGCCGAGAGAATGGCCGCGGCTCGGACGCGGTCTCGCCGACACGCTCGAAACAGCTTTCTCAACTAGAAAATTATTACAACAACGGTTCGACGATGTGGCGCCGCGCGTCCGAACCCGGCAAGATGGTATTTGACGTCGTCGGTGACTTCAACGCCGGCAACATTGCGCTCCTAACGTCTAATCCTATTTGTACAGCCTTAAAAACAATGGTAGTAGTTCTGTTGGAACCTGTTAAACGGACAACTTCGACGACGCTCGATGCTCGATCGCGAGCACGATCGACCCTCTGCACTCGACGTTATCATCGCGATATTTAAAAAAAAAAACCCGGAACGTTTCGAAGTCCCGGGAAAGAGTACGCACGTGGCGCGTACGATTCAATTTTTTGCAGCGTTTAATGATAAAAAAGAAACAAGAAAATCGGTCACGCGCGAACGTTGTCTCGAGTGCAAACGGTGAGAAACGGATAAAAGCGGCGCGGATAAAATGTGTGTAAGTGTTTCGATCGAAAAAGTGATATATATATATATATAATAAGTCTGTCCGAGTGAACATGAGAGAAAAAGAAACATTGGCCCGAAATACGAACGAGGAGCCGGCAGGTTCGTCCTCCCCGGTTAACAGGTTATAAAAGCGGGTGTTAAACGATCGCGATCAAGAATATCGTTCGGCCGAATGGTGTCGAGAGGAGTCCAGTAACAAGTCCGTGTAGACAAATCGAAACGGGTAAAAGAGCCTCGGAGTCGACAAACGTGTGTGTAATTGTATATTCTGCGGACGCGTGTCTCAAAATATGTAAAATCTTTTACAGCACCGTGTGGCTATATCTAACAAATCAGCGTGAACTCGCCCTTGATCCACGCGTTCGCACCAAAGATTCTTCTGATCGGAGAAAGCACATATGTTTCCTTGCCCGCCGTGTACAAACAGCGTCGTTATTCTCTCCCGAGCAAACGAAGAGAGAAACGGTTCCTTAGACTATTAAATCGGTTACTCTTCGCGTGAATACGGGTATTACAGCGCTATTATGTACATCGTACCGAGTCCTCGATAGAAAGAAGCTGTTCTCAGGTTTTGATTGAACGACAAAGACGCGAAAAACGTTGTTACAAAGAGCGGCGGCGGCGGCGACGCCGCCGGGTCGCCGGAGTATAAAAAAAGTTTTCCCAATCGTTTCCCGATTGCGGATTGCCACGAAATCCCGGACCAACCGAGGATCGTTCTCGATCGCTCGAAATTGTAAAACTTTCTAAGAAAGGGGAAGAAAGAAAGAAAGAAAGAAAACAGAAAAGTATGAGGGGGTGGGGCGGGGGGAGAGAATACAATGAAGAAATCGAATCGGAAGATACCGCGACGAGAGACGGCTCTGTGCAAAGTTCATCTTGATCGCCGAACGTGCTCGCGCGTACTTGTGTGTGTTCCGATAGCAAACAACGATACGAGAGCGATCACGCAACAATCTCCGCGGGGGATCGATTACAACGGGCGCGATGGTATTATTTTTCGAGCGAGGCGATACCGGAAAACAGAGGAGAAAAAGAAAGATAACGCGGAACGAAGAATTTCTAGGCTCACGGAGATTCGAATCTCCCGCCGTTACTCGCGGTTCTCCAAAATGGCCGCCGCGCACCGCGAAGTCCCTCTCTCTTCGCCCGGCAGGTCCCACCCACTCTCTCTCTTTTTCTCCATCTCCTCTCTTTCTCTCTCTCCCTCTCTCTCTCTCTGCCTTTCTCCCTCGTCTCCTCGTCACCCACACTCCTCCTCCTCCTCCTCCTCCGATCTCTTGTGTTCTTCTGGTCGCACACAGTTCTTCCACTTATCGCGTCGCCGCCCCCTTAGGCGTGTACGCAATGAGTTTCACGTGCGTACGGAGCCGTAGCTCGACCAGCCAGCCCCAGCTACGAACGACGCGGCCGATAATTAATCCTCGTCGTGGTCTCCCCGTGTTCCCTCTAAGCACACCAAGGCACTCCCGGTTTCCTCTCACATCGTTGCATATCACCGTGTGTTCCTCTTCGTCCAGGGATGATGAAATGGAGCGGGGGGGTTATGAAGACGAAAGCACGAAACAGTGCGAATTGTGAACGAGTCCGGGGGGATTCTCCCCGGATCGTCGAGGCGACGGCTACCGGTGGTCCTCGTCGGAAAAAAAAGGCATAGTTAACCACGTCCGACGGAAGTCACACAACCAACTCCCACCAAACGGAACGTACACACGTCAGAGAGAGTCTAGTCCCCGTGTCCCCGGGACTCAGAACTGACCGGGCACGGCCATAATCTGGCAGCCGGACTGCACGTGCGCCAACACCTGCTCCTTCAGCCGGCACACGTGGTCCTTCAACCTGTGAACCACGGCGCTGAGCTCGCTGTTCTCCCCCTTGAGCAGCTTGACCTTGTCCTCCAGCCTGGAGATGCGCTCGAGTTTGCGCCTGCGACACTTGGACGCGGCCACGCGGTTCCTCTGGCGCTTCCTCTCGAGCTTTATCCTCTCCTGGTTCTCCATATCGATCGGCGACATCGGCGGCGAACTCGACACGCTCGGCACCGTCTGCGGCTCGTCCTTGATCTGCACCAGGCTCTGGCTGACGGACGATTCGGTGCTCTGCACGCTGCTCGGCGGTTCCAGGGTGGTGTAGGTCGCCCCATAGATGCTGCCCGGCTCCTGAGAGCTGTCCGAATGGTGGAGCTCGTTCAATGCCACCTCGAAGCCGCGGACGTACTGTTCCTGCGCCTCGGTGACCACCTTCGGGAACAGGATCTGCGTGGGCGTCGGTAAGTTCGTCACCAAGTTGTCCTGCTGGGCGATGATCAGCTTCTCCAGTTCCGGGGAGCCCAGCTTCAGCATGTTTAGATCGGGAGAGCTGAGAATAGGCGTCATGTTGTTCAGCGCCGACGGCAGGGGCCCCAGCCGCGGCTTCTTCGCCTGCGGCCCCTGTCGCTGGCACAGGTTCAGGTCCAGCGTGAGATTACGCTTCAGCTGGCCCATGTTGTTCTCGCGATTCACGACGCCGTAAACGCCCGTGTCCTCGTAGAACGTCTGCTCCATCGTCAAACTTCGCACCATCGATGCAGCAGAAAGTGAAATATGCCCGCCAATCAAAAGTGGTTATGTCAGCAGCGCGCTGGCCTCGCGGATGGAGAATTGACAACACCACTGGCTGCGTCGAACGTCTCTCAGCCACGCGTACCCGTCGCTGCAACGACGATCGGTTCTGTTCGATAATCGATCGGGTCTCTGTTCACGGCGTGCGGTGCGGAGACCACAGCCGCGACAGAATCGCAAACAGTTTCGGCCAAGCGACGATGACACGAGGACCGAGCTGGGTCAACTGTCAACACAACAATGACTCACGAGACGCAATCCGACGAACGTGAGGTTCTGCGCGTGTGCACCTCTTTAGAACAGCCCGTGATCGTATGTCCGACACGAATGTCACTCGCGGCTGCACCGTACGAGCTCTCGACAACTTGTGAACACCCAACTAAACGTACAGCCTTATATCCCGTGACTCACGTCTCCTAAAAATAGCACGGTCGTCACCGAGCAGCCACGGAATTGGTCGACAGTGGCGTCACGGCCGCTCCACCATTGGCGAAACAATCGGCACTACTAGGAAATGGCTGGCGCATGCGCTCTGTCGCCCACTGATTCTCGTGGAGGGAGAGTTTAAACACCGGTACGCGCGTTAACGCTGCGGACAACTTTTACTCGTTCGAATATCCTTGTTTAAGGAAGAATTGCCTGTATCGTAACGGTCCCCTAACACGTGTCTTATCAATTTCTTTACCATTGATGAATACGAATCGCCATGGAAAGATATAAATCGAACGACAACATAGGAACACACGGACGAAAAGCTTGCGGATCTCGTACCCGCACGTTGGATCCATCGTGTTTTCTACTCTGTCACGCTTGCTGGTTCTTTTTTGAATTTACTATTCTACACCCACTCGTGGCGATGTTTTTACGTATCGGTAACGCCCAATGCGAGCCCGACACGTTTCACGTTACCCTGTTTTAGGAACACCGATGTTCATCAACTGATTTAGCACACAGCGAAAACTCCCTTATCAGAATTTCATCTGAATAAATTATATATATTGTGATAACAATGAGAATTGCGGTTCTTTGTACAATTTTATATTTTCAATTTATTCTTTAAGATTTATTAGTTTATTAAAAATATTTTAGAAATGCTAATAATTCTTAAAATAAGTTAGGACATTGATCAATATTTTAACAAACACTCAAGTCTCGCGATCTCTGTTTCAATAAATGACATTTAGTGTAAGAAAGCAATTAGTTCGCATGTCAGAGATTCTACTGTGTCCTTCTTGCATAACAATCCATAACGTTAAAAATTATTATCAACATTAATTTGCTTTCATCGGAAGCCTGAAACGCGAGATGTAGTCTCTTAATTATAATTAATGATACTGACTTTCAATTCCATAGCACAGCTGAAATTATACCAGCGTGGTACCCAGTGCACTGATACTCAATTACATAAACACGTAGGAATGAGATGCAGTTCAGTACAGAAATCACGATTGTTTCACACTATGTGCGTTGTGTTCGCCGTTTCGGTAAAATTCTTACTTTCGCGTGCATACAAACTTTCGCTGATCGAATTATTCGAGCCTTGCGCCTGATTTCTATAATTGTTGACAATCAGCGACTATAAAAACAAGCCGCGAGGCTTGAATAATCGTAGCTCCTCTTTCTAAATTATCCATTTTTATTTACAAGTTGAAGGACAATTGGGGAGAATTTACTATAGCATGTTTATTAATCATAGAACTTCTTTGCTCGTATTAATTTCCCAAAATCTTTTTGTAACGAACAACTGACCGGTTGCATCACATTGCAGATGTGTTTACGGGTTTTTCCATTTCTGTAAACAATTTTCAAGAAAATGTATTTAAATGGAATGTTATTTACTGCCCTAATTATTAGTATGATTAAGTGAAAACTAAAACATATGCTTGAATTATTATTATACAGCTGAAATCTGTTGATAAACGTGCTGAATGAATCAATGCATGTGCGAGTATATAAAAGGATTTAAAGATTTTAAAACATGTTAAATGTTTTATATTTATTTCTTGCAACATTAGATAAGGGTACAATAAAAAAGTACAATACCAAGAATACTACCAGAGAGGAAGCCAAATTATCGAAGCTACGACTACGTCGAGACAAGCCGATCTTCTGTAAATCATGAACAGTGGCTGGTCTAATAAAAATGTGCGCAATATAATGGAAGCAGAACGATTCAAATGTGAATGTATTATACGAAATGTCCGACCGATGAAAATATTATAAATTCTATTCGATTCAATCAATTCAACAAACTTCTTGTTTCATACGTATTGATAACTATTTACATTACTCCGGTTGGAAATCCGAAAGTATCTCCAAAAAAATACGTTTGTTACTTTAAATTATTCATGTTTCAAATTGCAGCGATTGTCGTACATTTTTATTATCAGTTCCTTCGTAACTTTCTGAAATAAGAATCAATTTCGGATTAATATAATATTGTATAATTAAGTTTGAATATTTTTTATACTATTTTCTTAAACTCTTACGATCTCAAACTCGGTTCCTGGAAATTTGTCGGAGCTCGCTTCCGTTGTGGTCGACCTAAATTGTGATTACTATTGGCACTAGCGTTACTGCTTTCTGAATCACTCGAATTTCCTCCACGTAAAGATGTTTGGTGGTTACTGTAAACAAAAATACTATCATGATCGCATACACTATTAGTACCATTACAAGAACTCCACGATCAAATTGTTAGACTTTCTACAAAACCTTTATGTATAAAAATATTTAATTTTCAGACATAAAAGCCAACTATTATTTCAACATTTTGACTAAGAGATTCCTTTAAAACAAAATTAATATGCTTACAATGACTGGTCGAAATCGTGCATCTCCTCTGGAGAAGGTGTCCTCGATTTAACATCGAACTCATTCAACTTCTGTAACACGACTTTAGCGGTACTCGGATCTTTACTCGGAGTTTTACTCCTCTTATTTGTCTGGGTACTCAGTTTTTTGAACGATGTCGCAGCATCGTTGAGATCGACTGAACCCCTCAAAGATACAGTCTTTCCTCTTGTCACCCGTTTTGTGGAATCTAATTTTTCCTTGAATGGAGTTAAGTCTTTATTATCGTAATCATTATTCATTAGTAAAGGCAAGTTCACCGTGGAATGATTGAACACAGTTTCATCTATACTACTGTTTGAAATAGACGGCAATGGACAGATTTGAGATATTTTTCGAAGCGTAGTCGTTATTTCTGGTTCTGGTTCGACCGGTACTACTGGTTTCAATGCGGATTCTTCTAAAACGGGAAATTTTAAATCGTTCATGTCGAACTGCATATCACGCGGATGCCGAACATACATCAATGTAAAATCATCCTCCTCTTCCTCTTCCTCTAGAGAGTAACCTCGCCTTTGTGTAACAAAATTAACCAAATTCGGAGTCGATTTACTATCAGGTTTATATTCATCCTGATTAGTAACTTTTGGTGTAGACAAAGTGAACGTATTACAAACGGAATCGTCATTTACATTTTGTAAAGTATTAATGCTATCATTTTCAGTATTTCCTTGTTCAACAGAATCGGAGAGACTATTCCATTTACTTTCTTGTTCGCTTAAACGTGACTTTGATTCTTTCATAGGCTTTTCATCGTCTGAATCATCGCTTGTTTCTGCTACTATTGAAGATCTAGACGTACTATTGTCAATAGAAACATTTATATTATCATCAGTCTTCTTCTCGTTATTTATAATACAAGGCACAGTTTGGAAATTGTTGAATAACCAACTTGGTCCTTCGAGAGGATCATCGATATTTGTTGGAGAATGTTGCAAAGTTTTAGAGTTTTCTTTCTTTTGTTCATTTTTTGCACCTGATTCATTATCAACTTGTGCATCATTGTTTTCGACGGTCTGTTCGTTAGAATTTTCTGATGTGTCAGATGGGGGTGTTTCTGGTACTGTAACACTAGTTTGAGAATCATCTTGATTCATTTCATCACTATTTTCTGCATTGATAGTCCAATCATCGTTTCTAGATTCTGTTAACTAAAAAAACAAACAAATCTTAACGAAATCGTCCAAAGTTTTCATGTCAAATAAAAGAATTAATAAAAAAAACACGAACCAATCGAATGTTAATACTTTGGGAATTTTGAAGAAATTTTGAAACGTCATTGAGTTTTACTGTAGGGCTTCCCACATATTCCAAATTCCCGATGCTGCGAGTACTATTATTTCCAGAAAGTCTATTTGACTTCGATCTTGATCGCTTGCCTGATATTCTTCCAGAATGTCTGCTTCTTCTTTTACTCAACCTTCGTTCATTTTCTTCTGTAAATGGGATAAATTTTATGTAAAAAATTTACTACTTTACTATGTAATATTAATGCTACATACCACCACTACTTCTTGGTGAACTAACAGTCACTCTCTCTGGCATTCCACATGGACGTCCATTACTAGCCTATACAATAATTTAATTACTAGAATCTTGTAATTTACGTTTAAATTTTTTCAAAAATACATACGTATCTACGCTGTCTCACGGTAATGGATACAGGAGATCTCAGACTGTTCGTCTCTTGATTTCTTGGAGGTGTAACTACTTCTGGTATTACACTTAAGTTTGAAGCGTTATTAATATCTTGCATATTTACTCTACTCAAATTAATGGTAGGTTTTGTAATGGTGTGCCCGCTCACCATAGGCTTTACCACTCCTTTGGTTGGTGATTTTGTCGACATTCTCCTATATGAATCTCTTCCTGAAATAATATTGCTCACTTAATAATAACATTAATATTATAACAACATTAAGTATGAGCTCTGAGAAATCTTACTTCCAGCTGGACTGTAAGATCTTCGTAAATTTGTATTTGCAGATGCTGTAAATTCTTGACATGTTGAGATTGTATTAGTCAAGTAAATCGTCATTGTTACTAACGTGTTAAGCATTTCTTTAGCATCCTTTAAAATATTTAATATCAGACTCTGAAATATATAAGAGCATGTTACATATTAACATTGCATTTATCTATGTTCATATATATATGTATATTGTACTTACATCTCGTTTATTACAAGCTGAACCTAAATCTTGTATCTCTCCGAGTAAAGCAACATTTTGTGAAAACAGTAACTTGGTCTCTTGTTTTTCTTTAGACAATGCTTTCGCTAATGAATTGTTATTAGTCTTTAATTTTTCACATACTGTAATAAAGAATAGATTATATCGTTAACTTTAAATTTTATGAGCAAGTACAAATCTTGTAACTATAAAAACTTACAGGGTACATATGATTTATATTTAAGATAATTTCTCAGATATTGTGGCCTTTTTTGGATATCTACCACCCTTTTTACTTTCCGATGTGTCTTTCGTATTTGAGGCATTTTCCATTTATTATTTAACCTAAAAGAGAACAATATTCATTTATATTTCTAACTTTTGTTGGAAGTGAAGATTAATTTTCGACATTTATATAATAAATCATTGTTGTTCTCGTTATTTAATATATATATATATATATATATTTAATATGAAATAAAAAAGCATTGTGAAATTCAAAGACAAGAAATAAAATCATATAGCAAGGAAATTGTATAAAATGCAGTTATTACAAAGATAACAAAAATGTAAAAATTCGATGCATACCTTTGAATACGACTAGACCTTCCTTTGATATAGTATTTTTAAGGTATGTTGTTAAAACCCTATCTTTATCGTTCTTAGCTTAACAACATTTACTTTTTATATACCACTTTTTAATATCGCACAACTGCACAATTTATTTTATACCGAAAGGAACAGTACAATTCCGCCATTGCAAAAGCTGAACTTCACTGATCTTCACAACACATAACGGCGGTTTATAGTCACTGATTACAATTACAGTGTATTACTGTCCCCATAATAAGTTAGAAAAAAATATGCAACTGCAACACAAAAAACATATCAATGCAATACTGTTCAGGAAATTTTTATAACATTTTTCATGAAAACCACCTATTAAACTTCTTCAAATGCAGTTCAATAAAATATAAAAGTATATTCATTTACTCTTCTGAACAATATAAGCGTTTTATTTTAATATGTTCTTTAAGACGATAATTTATTTGTTTATTAACAGCTATAATAAAATGTATAACAATTTCTTCATTAAAATACGTATGTCAAGTATTTTCATCAGAGAATTTCCTCTCTGCCTTTAAGAAAGTTTTAAAATGCATTCAACATATTAAACATATTCTAAAATTTCGTAAAAACGTCATTATTTTAAAAAAATTCAGATTAAATTTAATACCATTGAAACAAATTGATAGATTGCAATAGAATATATTTGTTTATTGTGCATATGTATTTATTTTCATTCGCAGTCTCTCTTAGATTAGAAACGATTAAAAGATCGATTTCCTCGTTGATTCCCGCCACGAAGGATTCGTTTTATGTATACAAAAATGAAACTACCATTTTTCATGATTTTCTACTTCTCTAAGCAAACACTCGTATGTACGCATCCCACAGCCTCCCAGCATCCCGACCACTTCACAACTTTCTTTCAGAAAAGTAGGAGTAGGAGAATTATCCATCACAAATGCGATTGGATGATGCCAATGGATTTCCATTGGAACCTCATTTGTGAGGTCTCCTCTCCACCACTTGGAGCAGATTCCGAGCAGAATCCCTGACACTATTGGTCACATTAGACACCAATGGTCACACTGGTTTTGAGTGGAAATTTCAAGAACAGTCGGCCGCCCGAGAGCTGTTTGCAATCGGAAAATGAGGAGTTCTAAAAGTCATTCGAAGTAACTTTTTTCTTAACGCAAATGCAATTTGACTTTGTTTATGACAGGCAGCGCATTTTTGGAAACTGCTTTAACAACTTGCGAAAATATTTATCGTATAAAAGCGGCAACACTGTCTCCATTACATAGATAGAGTGTCAAGGCTACCTAATTTCATGATATGTACATCCAAAATTTTAACTAGAGTTTCGCCTCTAGTATTTTGCTTGCTTAGGCGAAAACATCGCTGGAAAGTAACACCTGCATAATCTGTCCACGTCAGTATACATGAGTTCTGTAACATAACCTAAAATTTCTGATCCGGTATACAGTCTTGCCAATGATCGAGCACCCGCTTCTATGTCAGTTTTCGTGTACGTACGTCCTCAATTGTAAACAAGGTATATTAAAAATTTGTTTACGCTTCATTGTTTTCTTAATCTGAATTCCAATACAGTAATAACGAGTATAAAAACATACAGATCGTCTGTTCGGCCACTACGTTTTGATATATAACTGTGTGTGTGTATTCATTGTTCATAGAATAATTTTGCAAAATGAATTGGACTTTGTGGCTATTTATAATCGGATCCTTCGGCTGTAATTATGTACACGCTCAGGTTCAAAGGATTCCACCAGGTGTGTCTCCTCAACATTATCAACAAGTGAGTTTTACTTTTTGAATCATTAAACATATGGTTACTATTTATGAAATCATCATTCGAATGTTTTCTATCCTTTTTATATAATATTTTTCCTTAATTATTTAATTGATGAATTAATATGCATTTTATTTATGTTTCAGCCTGTTCAACAAGTACATCAAATGCCACAACAACAACAACAACAGGTAATTTCATGTAACAATTCAGAAGATTATAATCTTCTTATAATAATACTTTAACAATTATTTAATCAACAAATGTATTTTATATATGATATACCACATTATATTTTTTAATCTTATAATTATAAAATCTACATTTTATTAATGCCCTTAAATTTCTATAGTATCAGCAACCTCAGGGACAGATGCCTATGCATCAGGTTCCTGTTCAACAAGTACCTGTGCAACAACATATGCCAACTCATCAAGTACCCATTCAACAAGGACATCATGATCATCCACAGCAAATACTTAATGCTGCCAACATAGCTCATGAAAAAGCGTATGTTCATATGACTTTAATATATTGTGGTATTAAATATTTATAGCTTTTAGTTGCGTCAAAATTCTGTTCTTTCATACAGCCATATCCAAGAGCATATGGAAGTTCCAATAGATACTAGTAAAATGACAGACCAAGAACTGCAGTTCCATTATTTTAATATGCACGATGCTGATAATAATAATAAGTTAGATGGTTGTGAACTTATTAAGTCTTTGATTCATTGGCATGGTATGTATTTACTTACCCACAATTCATTAAAATACAAATTAGTACTGTGGCAATTATATATGTGCATTGTAATTTTGTATTTAGAACAAGGTAAGGAAGCAGGAGGAACTAATCCTCAAGAAAGACTGTTTAAAGATGAAGAACTGGTAACATTGATAGACCCAATACTTTCTACGGATGATAACAACAACGATGGGTATATTGATTATCCTGAATTCATACAAGCACAGCAAAATGCAGCAGCTACAGGCCGGCAGTAATTGCAGACAAACAGTGTGACATTAAATGGAATTAAAACGTATTTTTACTCCATCTTGAACAAACGTACTGTTACATTTGTAAACGTGTCATACTTTCCACCTGTTACAGTATAAGTAATGGTATGGACTATTACTTGTTATATAGAAATGCAATTATTTTTATTTTCTTCATTTCTTTTTTCAAATAAAAATAATTATAAATTAATGATTACTTTTATAGTTATATACATTTTCTCTTTCATACTATAGAATCAAATTTATTTTCTAACATTTCAACTGCTATTTTCTCCGACATACATTATTTATGTCTGGAAAAATAGTACTGTAATATTTATAAGAAAAATAATTGTAAAGATAGTTAATTAAGCAGATGTGTATAAGAGACAGGCTAGGAAGTATCCGATAGTACTTGGTATAAAAATTCAAATAACAAATATAAATTTTTGAGAATCATAAACAGAGATGTGTATAAGAGACAGAATCATATGATCATTTAAAGTGAGACTTGTAATACAATATTTATACCATCTCAAGCTAGGAAGTATCCGATAGTACTTGGTATAAAAATTCAAATAACAAATATAAATTTTTGAGAATCATAAACAGAGATGTGTATAAGAGACAGAATCATATGATCATTTAAAGTGAGACTTGTAATACAATATTTATACCATCTCAAGCTAGGAAGTATCCGATAGTACTTGGTATAAAAATTCAAATAACAAATATAAATTTTTGAGAATCATAAACAGAGATGTGTATAAGAGACAGAATCATATGATCATTTAAAGTGAGACTTGTAATACAATATTTATACCATCTCAAGCTAGGAAGTATCCGATAGTACTTGGTATAAAAATTCAAATAACAAATATAAATTTTTGAGAATCATAAACAGAGATGTGTATAAGAGACAGAATCATATGATCATTTAAAGTGAGACTTGTAATACAATATTTATACCATCTCAAGCTAGGAAGTATCCGATAGTACTTGGTATAAAAATTCAAATAACAAATATAAATTTTTGAGAATCATAAACAGAGATGTGTATAAGAGACAGAATCATATGATCATTTAAAGTGAGACTTGTAATACAATATTTATACCATCTCAAGCTAGGAAGTATCCGATAGTACTTGGTATAAAAATTCAAATAACAAATATAAATTTTTGAGAATCATAAACAGAGATGTGTATAAGAGACAGAATCATATGATCATTTAAAGTGAGACTTGTAATACAATATTTATACCATCTCAAGCTAGGAAGTATCCGATAGTACTTGGTATAAAAATTCAAATAACAAATATAAATTTTTGAGAATCATAAACAGAGATGTGTATAAGAGACAGAATCATATGATCATTTAAAGTGAGACTTGTAATACAATATTTATACCATCTCAAGCTAGGAAGTATCCGATAGTACTTGGTATAAAAATTCAAATAACAAATATAAATTTTTGAGAATCATAAACAGAGATGTGTATAAGAGACAGAATCATATGATCATTTAAAGTGAGACTTGTAATACAATATTTATACCATCTCAAGCTAGGAAGTATCCGATAGTACTTGGTATAAAAATTCAAATAACAAATATAAATTTTTGAGAATCATAAACAGAGATGTGTATAAGAGACAGAATCATATGATCATTTAAAGTGAGACTTGTAATACAATATTTATACCATCTCAAGCTAGGAAGTATCCGATAGTACTTGGTATAAAAATTCAAATAACAAATATAAATTTTTGAGAATCATAAACAGAGATGTGTATAAGAGACAGAATCATATGATCATTTAAAGTGAGACTTGTAATACAATATTTATACCATCTCAAGCTAGGAAGTATCCGATAGTACTTGGTATAAAAATTCAAATAACAAATATAAATTTTTGAGAATCATAAACAGAGATGTGTATAAGAGACAGAATCATATGATCATTTAAAGTGAGACTTGTAATACAATATTTATACCATCTCAAGCTAGGAAGTATCCGATAGTACTTGGTATAAAAATTCAAATAACAAATATAAATTTTTGAGAATCATAAACAGAGATGTGTATAAGAGACAGAATCATATGATCATTTAAAGTGAGACTTGTAATACAATATTTATACCATCTCAAGCTAGGAAGTATCCGATAGTACTTGGTATAAAAATTCAAATAACAAATATAAATTTTTGAGAATCATAAACAGAGATGTGTATAAGAGACAGAATCATATGATCATTTAAAGTGAGACTTGTAATACAATATTTATACCATCTCAAGCTAGGAAGTATCCGATAGTACTTGGTATAAAAATTCAAATAACAAATATAAATTTTTGAGAATCATAAACAGAGATGTGTATAAGAGACAGAATCATATGATCATTTAAAGTGAGACTTGTAATACAATATTTATACCATCTCAAGCTAGGAAGTATCCGATAGTACTTGGTATAAAAATTCAAATAACAAATATAAATTTTTGAGAATCATAAACAGGGATATATATTCTATCGTTGCAAAAATGATATATAAATATAGTAATTTTTACGAATTGTTTTCCTTACGTGAGGTCATAAAAATTATACATGCATTCGTATTCTATTAAGTGATTTAAACATTGATTATTGACTATTTGTATTGTCAATGTTTTAGTTCAATATTTAAGAGTTTAAAATACGACAATACAGAAAAGTAAATAATTCAAACAAAAATGGATTTTATAAAACATTTTTAATATTTTTTTCTGAATATATAAATTTAACAGAATATATAAATTTTATATTACATTCATAATTTTTTTACAATTATGCTTACATAACATGTATTGTACATAGATCAACACTTTTACTAGATACCAAATTGATATCTTGATATCAATTGTAAGTCAAATGTCAAATTTATTAAATACTAAAATTGTTTAGTTAAATCAAAATATACTCACTTAAAGATACATTCCATTAACTAAATAGTCCGCATCGTGAGCATACGGTCCATGACGCTTTCCACGTCTACGAACTACTCGTAAACGGCATACTATTAATATAGCTGTGATAGCTGTTATCGTAAGTCCTAGTGCTAATGATATAATAGCCCCTCTAGGTCTTAAAATTTCAACCCCGATTACTTGTTTCAGATGTTCTACCATTAGAACGTCTTTTCCATGCTCTTTGTTAGCATCTTTAATCACTATTAAATTTTTGTGTTCTGTACAGAAAAAATGCATGAGTAAAAGAAATATAGTGAAACTTCTAGCAGATGTTAATGTAATTATGCACCTTTAGGTTCCGTTGCCTGAATATGATTATGTTTTGGAGTTTCTTTTCTTAATACATTTTCTTTACTATTACTGTGATCAACTTCTTTCTCATAAGTAAGGTGTTTCTTTCCTTGCTGATCGATTTTCTTAACTTCTTTAGTTTTTATTGGCATGTCTGTTTGCTCGTGTGATACCTAAAATAATATTGCATCTGTATTACTGGAAATATCTGATACAACGAAAATGAACTTACATCACAAGGAGGTGTGGTTGTTATAACGATATTCCTCTCTGCTTCAATTATCTGCTTTTGTTGTACATTGGGTGATGGAGATGGAGAAGGAAAAACTTGAGTATTTTGCCATGAATCTCTATTCGGTGATACGAAATGCGATGTGTACGGGTGCCTTACATCTAACAAGGCGGTACTAAAAAGATGTATAATATATAATTATATAAAAAATTTGACGAAATTTCTACCCATTTCTACAGTATCATGATGTCTTACTTATCAGCTTCTTTTTCGCCTATAACACCTGCTCCTTTATGATTAAAAATATGCGGCTGATTTTCTATAAAACGATAAATCTATAATGTATTGCTATGTGGTTAATAATGTAGTTGTTTATACTTACGTTCGTATGAATTTATATTATTTTGTTCATGAAAAGAATTAACAGGATTATACATGTCTTTATTTTGTTCATATAGAGCTTGATAATCCAATTGATATCCTGGAGCTCCATACACTTTACGTAGGGGAGCTACTTCTAGCTGTTGTGGTGGATATAAAAGAGGTTGTTGCTGTGGTATTATTGGATGAGCTATATTAGATAGGTCCCATGATTTACGATTAACTTCTGGAACATGAGCATATAGTGGTGCAAGAGACTTGTGTGGCTCCACTATTGGTTGATATTTTATGATATCAATAGGCATAAGTGGTTGTTGTGGTTGAGGTCGTTGTATTATAGGTGGAGATATAGTTGGTTTCTCTGTAGGACATATGAGAGCTGGTGCTTCATCAGATCCATCTGGACATTGTGGAATGCCATCACACACATTGTATACTGCGATGCAATCTCCAGATGTTCGACATTCATATTGATTGCGACTGCAAGCTTTTGCATAAAATAATATGTTACTATCTCTTTCTATTTATTATTAGATCATTTTTCAATTAACAAATACCTGGCTTAATAGGTGGTTGTGTAGTCAATGATAGCTTTGGTGCCACGGTTGCAATTAATTTTATGGAAGGTTCGGTATAGGAATACTCGACTGGTGCTGATTCTGCTAGGTTTCTGTTCGTACGAAATTTATTTGTTAATTATTATTAATATTTATTTGTTAACAATTTGGTAATTATTACTTACCTAAGAGATTTCAGCTCATGCTCTTGTTGAGAAATTCGAATTTCCTCTTCCAATTGTGCACTGTTTTGCGTGTTGTATTTAGTACGTACTGCACTACTATAATTTGCATGACTCGTAAATTTACATTTAAAATCATGTAATGGCCCACATTGAAAAAGATAACAAGTTCCAGGTTTCTAAATTATATATAAACAGCTTATTATTAATTGAATGTATATAAGTAAAAAAATTATTATTTCTTTATTTGTTTATTATATTATTTAAATGATTACATATAGAGGAATGTATGAAAAAAATGGTGTCGTACGATATTTATATGAGGTAATTATATAAAACATTAAATAGAAAATATGAGATTGTATGTATACCTTTTCTTCGAAAATAAATACATCGCAGTCCACAGTATCACAGCAAAACTTTAAACAATCTTCTTTTGAATCAACCTCTGTCCCATTTAAATACTTAGCACCCCTATCACAAGATTCATACGTTCGAATTATTTTATCTCCGTGTATATCGAAGCTGTCGAGACACATTGGATAATTGTTTCTAACACTAATTCGTTTCTCATTTTTCTTCGTTAACGTTTCACCAGTCACACAGTAAAATATTGTAATAAAATGGAAAAGGATTCGCACAACTTCGTAAAACATCATCCTCACAACTTACGGTAAAAGCGCGCATGCTTGTCGGGTGGGATTCGGAATTCTCCGCTGAATCAATAACTTGAAGTATTATCTTATTAAGCAGTTTAACATCACTAAAAACTATAGAAAACCGATACGATGGCTTCTTTAAGAATTACATGTCTGAATATATTAAATAACAACTATACATATATTTTCGTTTACAAATGAAGCAAGTTTTCAATTATTAAACTGAGAATATAATTCATCATTTGTATAATAAAAATAATTATTTTGTAATTAAATTATTTTGTAACAAATAATAATTATTATTTCGTTATAAAAAAGGAATAGGAATG